ATAACAGGGCGCGTTCCACGTTATAATGGGCGCGTTCCACGTTATAACAGGGGGCGCCTTCCACGTTATAACAGGGCGCGTTCCACGTTATAACGGACGCGTTCCACGTTATAACAGGGGGCGCCTTCCACGTTATAACAGGGGGCGCCTTCCACGTTATAACAGCGGGCGCGTTCCACGTTATAACAGGGCGCCTTCCACGTTGTAACAGGTGCGTTCCACGTTATAACAGGGGGCGCGTTCCACGTTATAACGGCGCGCGTTATAACAGCGCGCATTATAGCGTTGAGCGAAAGGTATTTGTTCATGGAAGAACCGCGGTATAACGAAAACGCGTTGCGTGAACACCGCACGTTCAGCGAGGACTTACCATATTGTTAATTTACAGAGCAAGGTGCGTGTCTGGATTACAACGTCGTGGCACGTCGTAGACCCCATTTACTGGGATGCTGCCAGTGGCGAGCAGTTATGTTAAACTGTTTCTCTGCATGTCTCTTTATGTGCGTCTCCGTGTTTTTTTCTCTCTGTCTTACTGTGTTCTTTTTGATGTCCATCTCTCGCTGTGCCCTGTATCTCAATGTGTCTGTTCTCTCTTTAATGCGCCCATGTCTCTCTGTACATTCCTCTCCTTGACCTCCCCTGTATCCATGTCTCTGGGTTCTCCACGCCTTTGCATCTCCCCTTAATATTTTTTCTCACAGTCTGTGTCGCTCATCTGTCTCTTCCCGTGCATTTATCTCTCGCTCTGCCCCGTTGTTTGCACATGGCTCTAGTCAAGCGTTGAGTTACCTCCGAGTTCATGGGGGGAGTCGCATATTTGTTGGAGGCCACAGTTGCGACTGGCGAGACGGATAGTGTGGTGTCAGCCAGCCCCAAGGACAATGATGACTGAATGGCGGAGTGTTTGTCTTTATGTTGAACTTCTTCCGCACCGTACGTAGCCAACCGCGCTAATCGGAGGTGCCTGGGAAGGACAACAAACTAAACACAACAAGCAGTTCTAAGTGACGAGTTTTCAAACGAGATGATTTAAAAGTGAAAATATCCAGTGGCTTCGTAATTGTCCTGGTAATCGGTAGCAGGCTGTTCTATCAATGTATTCGTGAAACCTCAGGGCAGGCAAGTGACTCGGTTCACTTATTGTGACGATGGTGTATTTAGAAGCGCTTAGAATGATACTTGGGTGGAGTGGTGGCATGGTTACTGCACTCCGCTGTGGACCCAGTCGCGATCTTATGTCGCGTATTACATACAGCACATTTTTTTTTAACAAACCACGTTTTACAAGACGTACATAGTAAAATACGTTTAATTTATATTGAAACAACGATTGGACTGCATTACAATGCTTCTACCACAACATAAACGGTTTTATTAAAAACACACACACACATAGCTAACCGAAATAAACACAAGTTGGCCTCCTTACACTGCGCGACGTAGTCACAAGCCCCCCCCCCTCCACGCGTCGTGAAACATTGACGTCCTCCAGCAAAGCCCTCGGTGCTCAGCGCGCTGAGGTCTCTTTGGGGCCCATCCATTGAGTCCGTACGCATGGAGGGGGGGATTGGGGGGGTTAACCCAAACGCGTACGCTTCCGTATGGGGGGAGGGGGTCTACTGACAAAATGTACGTACGCATAGGAAATGGAGGGGTGGGGGTTGGTGAAGCCTCGATAATAATAATGCAGCCGGCGGTTGACTATCTGTTTGCTTAAAACACGTTAATATTATTCATCATTGATCGTTGGTCCAGAAGCCACAGCATCAGCTCCACCTCGCCGCCCAGCAGCGTGGGCTTGGGCCAATCACACTGCAGGAAACTGTGACGCGCTCTCGACGCCAACACGGCCAAGTCCTCGCTTAACGCGTGGGGTGTTAACGCAACCCGTTTTCGACGAGAACACGGTTCTTCCATTCGGGGAACGGTTTTCGCACAACGCGGAGCGCGCACCCCGTTATGACGCAGTTTCTGAGCGGTCGACAACGAACTACTTCAGCTGCACGGCTGCGCGTTGCGATACAGCACGTGGAATGAATCCGTAACGCGGTGACGTACCCTCGGTTATTAGTCGTGCCATCTCACTGCGTGCGTAGTAAAAGGAGTACAACGTATCTCTCTTAAAACTTGATCGTTGCATTATTTTAGGGGGAAATAGTTCTCGCTTCACAAGTTTTTCCGCTTACCGCGACACTTTCAAGGAACACATCTATTCCTACTGCTACCGGGTTAAACGAGGACTTGCTGAAATGCGCAGTCAGACCAATTCACACACTTTACGCAAGTGACGAGACACGCGTGACTAACAGAAATGTGTTGTGCAGGCTGGAACTGAAACGAGAGCAATAATAGCACGCGCAACAGTCGATTTAATGTGACGGCACAAAGCGAGACTGACAGCTGGCTTGGTCCATCCCATAATGCCTTGCACGTCACGTAACATCACTAGATTGCAGGTATTATGAAGCAAACGGCCTTGTTATGTTCAATTCTGGCTTTTGCCTGATGAGGCTGGTTGTAACTATCGGCGAAACGTCGTGCTCGAATTGGAAATGCTGTGAGTTTACACACCGGTGTGCTGAACTCGTAACAAATTTGCATGTTTTGCATACGTGACAAACCTTACTTAATGGCTGTGTTCGGTGGTGGCAGGTTGAACGACACATTTATATTTACGCAATCTAACACCAAAAACACCCTCTCTATTATGGCCTTGTTTTGGCCGGCAAGAGTCAAAACGTTTGGGGGTTATATTACAACAATCTCAGCAATTGATTTACATCAAAGTGTCTCGCTGCCCAAACGAGCAGTAGGCGACACTCGCTGTGCGTGGCGCTCCTGAGCAGGTGATGTAAATGTCAACATTCCTATGGCGAAAGCCAGGTCTCTCCACAGCACTACAGCTCACCTTGACATAGTGGTGGTACCCGTTTAAAATATTGACCATAGAGCAATACATTACAAGCCACATTGAAAGCCTCAACATCATTAGTTTCCAACCTATAATTTTTTTTTACCAGGTAAGGCCCACTGAGCTATGTTAGCTTTTTCAGAAGCGACCTGGCCATAAATGATAGCCCAACAAAGTCACTTATCATGTGGAAATGTATAGCAGCCTAATACTCTAAACGCATGTTTCTAAATGTGGAGGGAAAAACCGGAGGACCCGGAGAAAAAGCCACACGACCACAGGGAGAGACAGACGAAAACTCCAAATATTCAACGCGTCAGGGTCGGGATCGAACCCACGACTTCCTGCACACCAGGCGAGGAAGTTAACATCTCACCACCGCTGCACCCCTTTTCAAAAATCCCAGCATGCGAACATACGAGTTCAGTCGAGGCCTCTCGTCACCGGCTTCCGATACACTTCCAAGTGGGAGTTTTACCGTCCTCCTTCTGACCTGTAGGGCTCTCAAAAAGTGGACACAAACCCAAGCGACCTCGCAGATTTACCGACCACCACGATGTGTGTGGCCCATAGCGAAGGCTTCGTTCTCCGATGGCCGGTGCCATGTGCCATCCCCGAACTGGGCATTGCCCCGTGCCGGTGGCCTGTGCCGCTCTCTATCTGTGGAACGCCTTGCCCAGTGCTGCCCGCGATTGGGAGAGAAACAGCGGTGGTGCTTAACCCCCCCCCCCCCCACCACTCTCTCTCGCCTTTGGTTCTTTATTCATTTTCCTTCGATAGTTGTGTTTTTCCTCCCCCTGGCCAATGATTTATATATTTTTGTGAAGTACAGCGCCTTGAGTACCTTCTAGAAAGGCGAATTATTAATGTAATGTATTGTCATTATTATTAGTTGAACAGACCACTTTCCACGGCCTTACGGACCACAGGTTGGTTGGGGAGCACTGCTCAGGACTATTTGTGGACGTTTGGCCGATGGATTTGAGAACGTTCTAGTTTTTGTTCTTTCAGGAGGTAGAGAAAAAACTTTGGTGTCAGGGTAAAACTCAAGCCAAGGAGACGAACAGTCCCACTTGCGAATGTTTTCGTGGTTGCGCTGTCCAGGCTCTCCGGACGTGCGTTTCGGGATGGGGCCGTCCATAAATGACTTCACGCGATTTTGGACGATTTTTGACCCCCCTCCTCTCAAATATGACGTCAAAAAGCTCTGCCCCCTCCCCCAAAAATAAAACATGCTTCAAATCGCTTTAAACTATTGTCATTGTAGTGCGTATTTAATGTGGCGCTGCACTCTGATGTAGGAGAAAACATTTATGAAAAAGTCTATTTAATTGCGCATTTTGATGTGACGTCACATTTCTCAACCCCCCCCCTCACATCGTCACAAATGTCTGACCCCTCCCCCCCTAGGTGCGTGACGTCATTTATGGACGGCCCCGTTGTACCGCATCGTTGTTCAACACGACGCCCGATCGTTTCGCATCTGGGGTACAACTCGAAAGTACGTGACAGATGTAGTGGCGAACACCCGCGCTTCTGCACAGGTGACCTCGGATCCTGTCGGCAACACGCAACAATTTTGATCGACTCATTTTCATCAATGTTTGTTTTTTTGGTTTAACTTTACTCGAGGAAAACCTAACCCTAGAAAGTGCAACAAATGTGAGTCGCGAGGCTGCGTCGTGAAACGATCGCAGCAGTCACCAACTTGGGGGGTGGGGGGGAAGATGTCTTAATAGTGCATCTGATGCAGACAATGGCAGGCAGCATAAGCTTCAAATCAAGATCAAACAAGTTACTTTACATTCGAGAAAGAGCATCCATCGTAGGGGATGCGTTCACAATTTTCCGATTAATCCGAAGTATACGAAATTCAGACGATGCGGGGGGTAAAAAAACTGGACACACACAAAACCACGTGTCAATAATGATCTGCCGTTTTCCCGTGACATCACGGGAAATGGCGTCACTCGTATCGCATCACTTCAGAAAATTTCCACACCACACAAGTTAGGTCACGTGGCATCAGGTAACTACGTCACTTTTGTTAGCACAAACACACGTCGAAGTGACGACACAATTGAAAAGAAAATATATATTTTTTTTACTGAAACTCATCCCTGATCTATTAGGCACAGTTAAACACACACATTTAAAATATGCAACTAAACATGGAGACGCTTTTAAAAATGCACATTTTAGTTTTTCGACGACAAACGTAAAACTTGACAACTTAGCCACAGGCGTGAGATTTCGGCGACGGTAAATTTTCCTCAATGGAGCAACGACGCCGTCTCGAACCGATCCCCAAACCTCGGGAGGCCCGCCCGCCTATCTGCGCCGCAGCCAATAGCGTAGTGGCACTGCCATGGGCAACCGGGTTTCGGGAAATCCAGTCATCGTTTCTATGGCAATGACAACAATATACAACTATGCCGAAGCGTGTTGCTAGGCTGAGGTGCGCGAGTTGAGTGGTCTGTGACCGGGTTTGGGGGCAGGCTACACACTTCGCTCCAGGTGTTCTCGGTTTCAAGAGATTGGTTTATCCGAGGAGTGCAATCGTAATGCAATAGCTGTGATTTCGTTAGGGCTCCCTCTACCAGATGGCATCGCTGATGCAATAATAGTAGAAAAAAGCCTCAGTGAGTCACAATATTCTTTTGCAGGTGGGTCCTGCTACATTGGGGATGCTTGGCTAATTTAATTAACATTTGCGTGGCGTGTGGGAGCAGGATACCCACGCATATGAAAAAGTGGCGATGCTCCAAACCTCCGATCAGATAGATTAATCAATGTATTGCCGTACTGCCGTACTACCGTCTCTCTCAGCTACGTCGCGAGCCATGGAGAGCTCGTCTGGAAACTGTTCATCTGCTCAGCACCCATAGAACATCAGTATTATTATGCGTTTTGTCTCTACATTGTCGTGAATAACTATACCAACTGCGAGTGTTGGCTGAAACTGGAAAACCCGTAAGTGGCGTTTGTAGCACCAACTTTGGAGTTGCCACGTGTGGAGGTCGACCTCCGCTATTACACGAGTATTGATGCAACACACAGCAAATATTTCATAAATAAACGTAAAAACAACCGCAACCCCACCCACCTCCTCCCCCATTATTTTTCGACGTAACCAAAACGACGCTCTCAAGACTGCTGTACAAACGCTCGACTGATTTTGAAAGTAGGAAACCGATTGCAAGTTGCACGCAACAGTATCCGATTGCTGGACGGACTTTGTGGTCGCGTTCCCTATTTTCACGACCGACCTTTGAACGTGAGAAAACGAGGCCAACGCTCTGATCATTGTACTAAACACATTATGTTTGGCCCGTGTGCGGAATGAGGGCCCATCTCTGGGCTGTGCAGTTTGGCCAAAGTGAAAAGTCTGAGAAATGCATCCGAAAGCCAGGTCAAGAGATAGAATTAAAGAATGAAAACCAAAGCAGATATAAAACAGAATAAACATTTGGCACGACTGATGGTAGCATCATAAATGAAATGGATTCATGAAATCAATCAAGACCTTTTTCGTTTGATTGCATATTTAAAAGTGAAGGTGTCACTGGTGGCGCAAAAGGGAGATCTGTTTTAAAGGTAGAGTACCATGGAGATGGTGCGGTGAAATCAGCTCGTGTGGAGGAGCCAGGCGAAAGTGTTACATTGCAGGATCACGAGGCAGCAGTGACTTGGGGAGGCCTTCATCCAGCAGTAGATTGATCACGGCTTCTGATGACGACTGAAATGGATAATAAATTACTTGACTCAAATTTCAGTGGGAGCACCTACCTATCCTCTTGTGTATATGAACCTGTCAATGAAGACGCTAACCTGATGGGACACTGCATACACCGAGTTGGGAAGCCATCCCTATAACCTGGCCAAACTGCAGCAAGGCAAATTGTTGATATATAGCTCATAGAATAACGTGCGCATAAACGGCGCATACGAGTATCCAAGACAAAACACACACACGCGTGACGTAACAATTACATCCAGAGTCAAAGTCTCCCAGTGGTTAACCGAGCACAAGTAGAAAGGGCGGCGCTCTTATCTCCGAAGGCCTTTCCTGAGCCAGTGGTAAATTTCCCACATTTCCATGCGGGAATTCAGTCTCCGCACAACCGCTGACAACTTCCCGCCGTCGAGTGCGAGAAGTGGCGGCGGCGGCGACGAGGGCGCCAAGTCCGCGACGGAAGTCGAGGTTCAAACACGCCGGGTCTCAAACCGGTCGCCAGTTCCTTCCGAAGCCAAGTAACCCATCTTTGTTCCCCCAGTTCTCGTTAATACTCATCCTCTCTCAATACCCGTTTTTCATACTGGTGCATCCGAGCCAGGGCAGCGCGGCAGGGCACCGCGCGGCACACGCTAACGGGTGGCTTCGCCGCCGGCACTTTACCGTGCCGAGCCGGAACCAAACCGTGATACACGGGCCCTCGCGACAGCATCTGAATCTGGCTCGGGGGGCCAAGCAGGGCCAGGGGCGGAGGGGGCGAACGACACGTTCGTCACGTCGCGTCGTCTTTTTAAATCTCGATTGAAAACTAATTTCTTTAGAACTGCTTTTTGTGTGTTAGTTTATTGTCCCTCCCCCGTACCTCCGATTAGCACGGTTGGCTACGTACGGTAAGCAGTTCAACGTATACGCTTACATCTAAGCTCGTACGTTGCGCGTGACGTCGGCGGCACGGCGCCCGACTGCTGTGGAAAAACAACCCGGCGCCTGCCGAGCCGTGCCGGGTTTGCTCAGCATGGCCCCCGGGCGTGGCTTGGTTGCAAAGAGCGGACAAAAATAAAGAGGTATTGGGTTTTCATCGCCGATTCCCCTCCGTTGTAGTTTGAGACAACGCGCTAACAGGGAAAACCAAGGATGAGGCAGGAGGAAGAGAGGGAGGTGATCGCCGGCAAAGGTTGGCTGCGTCGTGTCCGTCGATTTTGTCCAATTCGACTCGTCATATCCGGGACAACGGAGGAGGGGGGGGGGGGTTGGGGTGGAACAGCACGGTAGTGAACAGCGCGGGGAACAGCACGGTGAACAGCACGGTGAACAGCACGGTGAACAGCACGTCTCTCGCCATGAGCTCAGCAGAGCGGTGGGCGGCGCAGACGGGCGACCGGCACCGCCTGGCCAGCGCTTAGAAGGGAGAGTTCATGCCCAACTTGGTCTCGAACTGCAGCTTCTGCCGCTTCTGGTAGCGCACGCGCATCCTGTCGCACCAGCAGCGGGAGGGGGGGGGGGGGAGGAGAGAGGACGTCGTTAGTGTGGTGGCAGCGACGTGGCCGTCGTGAGTCCCAGCTCCAAGGGACTTGAACCCCCCCCACAGCATCCTGGTGCCGCTGGCCCAGTGTCATTATCAACACCCCCCTCCCCCCCCCCACAAGCCACTTAACCCCAAGCAAACCAAAGTCGCCCCCATCAGCCCAGCAGCCAGGGTTGCAATAAAACAACTCAAACACAATATTCCCCCCATAGCTTTTAAGTAAACGATGTAAATTTACTCGGTTGGAAGACATAAGCTGCAATCATCGCCGCCCCGCTGTGAAAACTTTGCAGGACCCTCCCTGGCAAAGAGTCGTGAGACTCAGTTAAGCTATCCTGGGTAAACAAGCGCAGTAAATCGTAGTAATCGTGTAAGCCTAATGAAATGGCCACTGGTTGAGTGTTATTTTTTATTTATGATCTATAATTAAAGCAGCAGCCAGGGGCACACTCACCGGATCTCATGCAGCTTGATGAGCTCGTTGATCACGACGAGCGGAACGAGCCACAGGAAGCCCATCAGCCACGTGACGATGGGAACGTCGGCCAGCCACACCGCCACGAGGCTCTCCCCGTTCCGCCACAGCTGCACATCCACCGCCGCCTGCACCGCTTGCAGTGCCAACCTGCGGGCGGGGCCGCATGTGGGGGCATGGGTGGGGTCACGCGGGGGCACGGGTGGGGTCACGCGGGGCACGTGGGGGCACGTGGGGGGCTAGGCGGGGGGCATGGGGGGGGGGGGCACGTGGGGGGCGTGCGGCGTGATCGGCGACATGCCCGCAGCCGGACTGGCTTGGCGCAGGCCGATCCTCGTCACGCTCGTGATTCCATTCAAGAATTGTTTTTATTTTTTCTATACTACACACATTGTGGTGAATTCAGCAATCTGTGTTGGTTGGGGGGAGTCGAGTGAACCCCATCGTTACGTACAACGTCACGCATATTGAAAGACACATCGACAGCACACGGCTCAGCTCGGTTGCTGCAGTGGAACAACAAAACCTGGGCACCTGCTGAGCAGCAACATCAACTGCTGATGTAACGATGCAACTTTTTTCGCATACCTCGTGAGGTTGTTATCGTCTCGATGCAAGCGAAGGGTTACGTCTATGAACGGGTCGGCCAGTCCTCACAATTAAACACACCGAGTGTTATTGACGACGGGTTACTGGCGAGTGCTGGGTGGGGTGACGCAGTGAAGCATCAGTGTGAGGACTGGGACTGTTGGGCCCTTCACGCTGCAATGGCAGCATGGCAGCCCGACTCCATGCGAGTGAAGGGTTAGGGGGCGAGAGATTAATGAGGCAGCACTCACAGGAATAGTTAGGGGCTAGCTGCACGCTGCACAACGTTCACACTAAGGGTTAGGGGCTAGCTGCACACTGCACAGTACTCACAGTAAGGGCTAGGAGCTAGCTGCACGCTACACAGTACTCACAGTGAGGGCTAGGGGCTAGCTGCACACTGCACAGTACTCAGTGAGTGTTAGGGGCTAGCTGCACAGTACTCACAGTAAGGGCTAGGGGCTAGCTGCATGCTCCACAGTACTCACAGTAAGGGCTAGGGGCTAGCTGCACACTGCACAGTACTCACAGTAAGGGCACCATTGCTGTCCACCACGTGTTGGTGAAGGGACTGTGCCTCCAGAGCGGCTGAGTGCGATGCACGTGGGTCACCAGGACGCACACTGCCAAGGGACAGACACAACGACATTACACCCCCCCGCCCCTGTAGTCTCACACACGTCGCTGCAGCTAGCCCCGGTTGCTGAGAGGTTAAAGGGTGCGTGTACCCTCTAGAGGGGCTCTCGAGCACTCGTGGAGACCCCACCACCAGCGGGGGTGAGAACAAGCAGTGGGGCGCCACGGTGGCAAGGAGATGTTAACTATCCCTCCCAGTATACAGGAGGTCGTGGGTTCGATCCCAATCCCGACGCTGCTGCATAGTTGGAGTTTGAGCGTCTCTCTCTCTCTCTCTCCCAAAGGTCGTGTGGATTTTTCTCCGGGTCCCCCGGTTTTTCCCCTGCACGTTTATAAACGTGCGTTTAGAGTATTTGGCTGCTATAAATGTCCACGCGATGAGCCACTTTGTTGAGCTATCATCTGTGGCCAGGTCGCTTCTGAAAAAGAGCTATATATAGATCAGTAGGCCTCACCTGGTAAAATTCAAAAGTTAATCGATAGTTAAATGCTATTTATTACCATCACTATTTTCAGCACGCGGCCCAACAGAGCGTCTCTCCCAGAGCCCCGTATCAGACGCCACTCACGGCTGTTGAGGAGTAGGAAGCCGGCGGTGATTTTCTGCGCCAGGAGCAGAGCGTTGGAGTAATCCCCGAACCACAGTGTCCCATCAAACTGGCTGGTGGTGGTGATGGTGGTGGCAGAGATGGTGATGGTGGTAGTGGTGGTGGCAGAGAACAGCGCACGGGTTAGATCGGTAAGCGTACACGAGGATCGGCAGATAAACTCACGCCACCGCAGTCACCACCCACACCACACCAAGGTGCTATCCTAACCGCACGCTGGTGATGGGAGACCATAAACATCCTCACCACACCAGCCACAACACCCACGTGACGGCTGGCCATCCATACCACGGAGATGACACCTCGGTATAAAGCAACCACACCGGCCAGAACAAACCTCGTACTCACCAAACCCCCCGAACAGGCCACACCACCCTGGTTCCTTGCCATCCAAGTCCCGGTGCAATCAAACGACAAACCTAGGACGAGCCGGCCACCCCACCTAGACCACCGTGTGGCGGCTGGACATCCATGCCACACAGGCCACACCCTTGGTGCCAGCCTGTCATACCCTGGTGATGGGAGGCCATACCATCCTAACGACACTGCCAAGAACACCCTGTGGCGGCTGGCCATCTACACCAGTGGTTCTCAACCGGGGGCATGAGAACCCCTGGGGGATACGTGGCAATGTCCCAGGGGGTATGCAAAATTATTTATAAATGTGAAATGAAATGATACGTGAGCGATTGGTGAATATTCATGGATGAATCTGCCAATATTAAATATCTACGATAACATTTAAATCCACAGGGTAATCTCGAACAATATAAAATACCTTTCTCAACTCATTGATAGTAAACAGTGCGGGTTTCCAAGAGTAACCAGTGAGTGTGAACAGATGACGTCATGTACGCAGAGCGTCTGTTGCATTTTTTTCCTCGCTTGCAGTTACTCGCAAGTTAGGATACCTTACAAAATGGACAATTGGTTAAATTATTGACGTTCATTATGAATAGATTTATTTCTCAGAACCATGTTGGGTCAGGCAAGGGGGGTTTATACTCGGGTGAAACTAAATTCAACAAGGGGGTAGTACAGCGGCAGAATAAGGTTGAAAACCACTGCTCTATACCACTCAGAACACACGATCCAGACCACACACACCACCACCTGGACCACACATTCTGCTACCGGTCACGCACACACACACACATGCACGCATGCGTGCACACACGCGTGCACACACGCAGGTGGGCGAGCCACCCCCCCCCCGTGTCCGCACCTGAAGGGGTAGGCGTCGCAGTGCGTGGCGTTGTGGTTTCCCATGCTCTCGCTGCCCGCCCGGCAGAAGCCGTTGAGTGTGAGCGCGAAGCAGCACAGGTAAATGCACACAGACGGGAGGAACTTGCCCAGGAAGCAGAGCACATAGTAGTGCACGGTCTGTCATGGTGAGCGAGGGGCGGGGGGGGAATGGGGGCGGCACGTATGTATGTATGTATGTACGTACGTTGAACTTCTTTCATACCGTATATAGCCAACCGTGCTAATCGGAGGTGCGGGGGAAAATGTAACGAACTAAACACAAAAAGCAGTTATAAACAAATAAGTTTTCAATATAGATTTAAAAGTGCATAGCTCCGATTGTTTCCTAATATCGTTCCGGACGGTCACAGAAGCGCATATTAAGGCGCGAGATGCGATGACCATCTGATTCGATGGCCGAGCCAAAAGCCGCTGCAAGAGAAAGAGCGGCAAGTCGAGTTCGTGTCGACGCTGGATGCGGAGCAGAGACTCTGCAGATTAAACTAAACTATTTGTATTTTACGAGGTGCAAGGCCTACTGAGCTGTGTTGCTCTTTTTCAGAAACGACCAGGCCACAAATGACAGCTCAATGAAGTGGCTTATCAGATGGAAATTTATAGCAGCCAAATACTCTGAAAGCACGTTGATTCTAAATGTGGAGGGAAAAACTTGAGGATCCGGAGAAAAATCCACACGACCACGGGGAGAGACACCGCAGGGTCGGGATGGAACCCACGACCTCCCGTATACCAGGCGAGGGTGTTAACATCTTGCCACAGTGGCACCCACCCTGCGCGGCAGCACCATAAGATTCTTGCCAGTGGCGATCGTCATGACGGAGTTGTCCGGCTGCTTGCCGAGGAGCGACACGCTGCAGAGGGGAGGGAGAGGAGCGGGGGTGGAAATTCAACACGAGGAGGGCCCTCGGCCGTGGCTCCGTCACAATTACCATGATCTGAGCAAGCAGATATCAATAAATAATTGATGAATATATTTTTTCGCAATTATCTGTAAGTCCACCGCGGTGGTCAGTGTAGGTTGGTGTATGGAAAGCACGGGACCAATTCATATATATAAACATATATCACTCACCATGGCTATGAATCAAAATAATGTTTTTTGTGAACTCCAGGATGCCAAGGTGGCGAGATGTTAACCACCTCGCCTGGTGTGCAGGAGGTTGAGGGTTTGATCCCGACCTTTGATGCCTGCATATTTGCAGTTTGCGTGTTCTCCCTGTGATCGCGTGGATTTTTCTCCGGGTCTTTTGGTTTTTCCCTCCACATTTATAATAAACGTGCATTCACACTATTTGGCTGTTATATAGTTCCACGTGATAAGCCACTTCGTTGAGCTATCATTTGTGGCCAGGTTGCTTCTGAAAAAGAGCTATATATAGCTCAGTGGGCGTTGCCTGGTAAAAGTAAAAATAGTTTCTAGTTTAGTTTATAATCGCACCTGATGAGCGGGTGCGACACACAGGACATCCACAGGACGTCGGTCGTGCTGAGTGGTGGTGGCAGCTGGACTAGGCAGCTCACGACCTGCCGCACGCAACGCAAACAAAATCACTTTAGCAGACATTCACCTCGTTATTCACAAACTTGCTATCCGCGACTTGGGCTGGGCCACCAGGCAACGGGGCCGTTTCCCAGTAAGCTAATCCCAGAGCGGTTCCTCGAAGTCGTCTAAAATCAGGAGGGGGCAGGAGAGTCCTTGAGTTACTCTGCTCTCTCTCTAAGTCACGTTAGGAAATTCTACTGCCACACAACGGAGACTTGTTTAATCAAATTAATCAAAACACATTTGAGCTATATCTTATCGACATTCATATAGTGCCTTGTTTCAGCAATTATAATAATGGTCGAGGTGGAGCGAGCAGGGTTATTATTGTCTGACGTTTGGGAAGGGTCGCCTGGTTCAGGCATCCGTCATTCTCCCCTCCGTAGCGCCCACATCTCGACTACTGCGGAGTAGACGCGACGTTCACACGGCTACCACTGACCGGGCGTGGAGTGACCCACTCACACTCCGTGAGTTGAAAGCTTTGCGTGCGATATCAAGTTAATTACAATTCGTGCCAAATGCATGCAATCGTTATGCTAATGCTATGCTAATGTAAGAAAAACGATGCAAACGAGATGGTAAAAACGATATATAGACTTTAAGCTGAATATAAGCACACTTTATATTTTCACACCACGTGATTACATGATACCGGTGGGGGGAGTCGAAGTTAAACTTCTGATACAAGCACACTCTTTCGGATGTACGCATGTATGTTGAACTTCTGTCGCACCGTACGTAGCCAACCGTGCTAATCGGAGCTGCGAATAGGTGTGGATCTAAACACGCACAATGGCCTTGCTCTCAAGGGGTGTGCTTGTAACCAACTCCTTCCCTAATTAGAGGTGTCAATTCTTGGAACAGAATCGTGACACCGAATCGCGACAATTCGTCCGACTGTCGTGCAGCCCAAACGGCTCCACGGCCCCACCGCGGTTTGTCGAGTCGCTGAGCGGGCCTCACGGACAGCGCCCCCGCGAAGCGTGCACCCACCTGCAGCAGCACCAGGGATAGCTGACACTGCAGCAGGAAGAGGAAGCACTTGCGCATGCCGTTGATGGTGTGCCTCGCCTGGCAGACGGACCCAATCGGAAGGCAACGCGACGAGCGCTTGAGTGTCAAGGTACAGGCTCACGGGATTACCCTCGCTCGACGCGGAGGCGGCAGTCGTGGTAGAAACGTTGCAAGGAAAGGGCGCAACAAATCGAAACCGCACGACGAGACAGCTGCCTACCGAGTAGCACACACAGTACACGCACAGTACACGCACAGTACACGCAAAGTATACACACAATGTTGTAACTCTGTGTGTATCTCTGTGTATGTACCTGTGTGTATGGATCTCTGTGTATCTCTGTGTGTGTATCTCTGTATGTAGCTCTGTGTGTATATATCTGTATGTGTCTCTGTGCACGAGACAGCTGCTATTACGGGCCCGGCACATGGCCAGTGGAAAGCCACCTGTAAGTACAGCGATGGCCCCCACGTTGGCTCAGCTCGGATGTGCCAGTGGTAAAAACGGGGTAAAGACCGACTCAATGATAAGTCTGCTGGGCGTCCGGTTTAATTCCGTGTATTGCAGATAACCGATTGGTAATCGTAAAAGTTTTCGTTTTGGAAATCCACAATTGCAGGCAAATATAGAATGCCAACTATGCCAATTAAAAACCCAGGAGAGCCTCGGTAACAATGGTCCTGCAAATAAGATATTTGGCCAATTTCAAGAAGTGAGTGTTTGGAGGTGTGCGAGGAATCCTGAATGCCCGGAAACCATCCACGCAACCAAGGGGAGAACGCTAAAACTAAAAACACAACGGTGGCTTGTCAGAAAACGACTTGTTGTACTGCCCTCCCGACACGCACCACCTCACTTGGGGCTGCTTGGTGGCCAGGATACGGCAGTACGGATTCCTGTGTATATCTGTGTGGAGCCGCGAATGCTATCACATTTGTATTCATCGTTTCCTCCCCCCAGGTACTACCAGTTTAGAATCTGTATTGAGACTGGAGGAATCCGATGAGCTATGAAGCTTTTTTTTTTTTCACCAGGGGGGAGCCAGGATTTTGACTTTGGGGGGGGCTGACTTCAATATTCTGAGATATCCAGTGAAATGTTTTCCAATGGGCGCCACAAATGTATAAAACTAATTTTTTGGATTTGAACGCGGAGTTTATTAATAGGTCGGAGCCGCTGATGTGGCTAATAAGTTCGATAAGTTCGAAAGGCTGCCGCTCAAGCAGCCTGCAGGGCAGCACAAGGTGGCAGCCTGCAGGGCAGCACACAAGGTGGCAGCCAGCATTTTGCAGCAGCCGGATATCCGGTTATCCCGATTACCGACTTTCCCAAAATTTCAGGGGGGGCTGAGCCCCCCCAGCCCCCCCTGTGGCTCCGCCCCTGCCTCCCACACGCGTCCAAAACGCTCGCTCGCGGAGTTGGTCAGACACCCCCGTGTGGCAGGACCCGACTGGACATCTGTGAAAAAGAGATTTGATTTGAAAAAAAAAAAGAGCCTCGAAACTCAGAGGCTTTCTTGGATAAACAATGGGTGTTAAATTTCCCTGCAGATAACAATAGCCGCTGTTCTTGTTTGTCCGGCAAAGCAAGACTTCCCAGCTCCGGACGCACACAGTGACTGGATGGACGTCTAAAATTAGACATTGTGCCGCTGTCAATCTTGCTACGCGGACACAATGGCTGTTTCCCAGACTGTCCTGGCCAAATCCGGACGGGCGGTGACCCTAGGCTGAGGGCACCCGAGCAATCTGGCGTCTCTCTCTACGTGCTGCAAAGAAGAGCCATCGCCCGAAACGTCGTCTATTGTATACTTGCTTTTTATTTTACGGCCACAGTATTCGAGACGAATATGCCAAGGTCGGTGCGGCGGCGTGGCCCAGCGGAAACTTGCTTTGCGAAAGTTCACGGTTCGTGGGAGGGGGTTTATGTCTTTGGTGAATTCTTGTACGTGCATGCACGTGTGCGCGAGTGCGTGTGTGGGGAGCGGTGGCGCAGCGGTGAGCGTGCCGCGCTATCAAACCGGGCAAACCCAAGTTCGATTCTCGCTCACGGCCACCAACACCAGTGACGATTATCTGAACCAGTCTTGAACCTATGCTAGGTCGACTCAGCCTTAAATGAGTACCTGGTGCGGTGTGTAAACATCGCCCCGAGTCAGATAAATGCGGCCGGGCGTGGTGCTGGCCACCCATCCCCCCCTCGTGTGCCTTGCCGGCTTTTATAGGTGCTCGCTAACATCACTTTGCCCCTACAGTCTGTTAAGGCTACACGGGGGATCTTGGTCCTTGTACGACATATGTATGCGTGCGTCTCGTCCTCTCGCCTGCTTGATGAGCTTGATGATGCTGAGGTTCTCCTCGTGGTGGAAGGCCACGGAGCAGGGCAGCCCGTTGAGCTGGCCCGACAGTCGTAGCGGCCCCCCGCCCTGCGCCTCCGTGTCGGCCGGCATGCCGCTCGGCGCGAAGCCGAACCGCTCCCACGTGCACCGTGACGGGTACAGAGGGTCCACCGCGATGCTGCGCCGACGACACCGCCGACGGCGTCACCACCGACGCCGGCGTCCAGGGTTAAGCGGCGCGGTTCGGGTGGTTTTGTATTGTTCGTAAGACAGGTGCGCCGAGCGCAAGTGCGCATTTGTGTGTGTGTGTGTGTGTCCGCAGTGGGGAGCGGTAGTGCAGCGGTTAGCGCACTGCGCTACGAACCCGGCGACCCGAGTTTGATTTCCTTTCACGGCCATCACCAGTGACGATTATCTGAACCGGTCCTGGGCCTCCCCTAGGTTGACTCAGCCTCAAATGAGTACCTGGTGCGGTGTGTAAAGATTACCACTAGCGAGACAAATGCGGTTGGGCGTGGTGCAGGCCATCCATCCCCTCCTGTGCCATGCCTACCTTGATAGGTGCTACTCGCTAAGAGCACTTGTCCCAGCAGTCTGTTAAGGCTATAAGGGGGATCTTTGTCTTTGAATCAGGATGCATATGTAGTGAGGGAAAAAAGTATTTGATTACCCTGCTGATTTTGTACGTTTGCCCACTGATAAATAAATGATCAGTCTATAAGTTTAATGGTAGGTTTATTTAAACAGTGAGAGACAGAATAACAACAAAAAAATCCAGAAAAACACATGTCAAAAATGTTATAAATTTATGTGCATTTTAATGAGGGAAATAAGTATTTGACCCCTCTGCAAAACATGACTTAGTACTTGGTGGCAAAACCCTTGTTGGCAATCACAGAGGTCAGATGTTTCTTGTAGTTGGCCACCAAGTTTGCACACATCTCAGGAGGGATTTTGTCCCACTCCTCTTTGCTGATCTTCTCCAAGTCATTAAGGTTTTGAGGCTGACGTTTGGCAACTCGAACCTTCAGCTCCCTCCACAGATTTTCTATGGGATTAAGGTCTGGAGACTGGCTAAGCCACTCCAGGACCTTAATGTGCTTCTTCTTGAACCACTCCTTTGTTGCCTTGGCCGTGTGTTTTGGGTCATTGTCATTCTGGAATACCCATCCACGACCCATTTTCAATGCCCTGGCTGAGGGAAGGAGGTTCTCACCCAAGATTTGACGGTACATGGTCCCGTCCATCGTCCCTTTGATGGGGTGAAGTTGTCCTGTCCCCCTAGTAGAAAAACACCCCCAAAGCATGTTTCCACCTACATGTTTGACGGTGGGGATGGTGTTCTTGGGGTCATAGGCAGCATTCCTCCTCCTCCAAACACGGCGAGTTGAGTTGATGCCAAAGAGCTACATTTTGGTCTCATCTGACCACAACACTTTCACCCAGTTGTCCTCTGAATCATTCAGATGTTCATTGGCAAACTTCAGACGGGCATGTATATGTGCTTTCTTGAGCAGGGGGACCTTGCGGGCGCTGCAGGATTTCAGTCCTTCACGGCGTAGTGTGTTACCAATTGTTTTCTTGGTGACTATGGTCCCAGCTGCCTTGAGATCATTGACAAGATCCTCCCGTGTAGTTCTGGGCTGATTCCTCACCGTTTTCATGATCATTGCAACTCCACGAGATGAGATCTTGCATGGAGCCCCAGGCCGAGGGAGATTGACAGTTATTTTGTGTTTCTTCCATTTGCGAATAATCGCACCAACTGTTGTCACCTTCTCACCAAGCTGCTTGGCAATGGTCTTGTAGCCCATTCCAGCCTTGTGTAGGTCTACAATCTTGTCCCTGACATCCTTGGAGAGCTCTTTGGTCTTCGCCATGGTGGAGAGTTTGGAATCTGATTGATTGATTGCTTCTGTGGACAGGTGTCTTTTATACAGATAACAAGCTGAGATTAGGAGCACTCCCTTTAAGAGTGTGTTCCTAATCTCAGCTCGTTACCTGTGTAAAAGACACCAGGGAGCCAGAAATCTTTCTGATTGAGAGGGGGGTCAAATACTTATTTCCCTCATTAAAATGCAAATACATTTTTTGTTGCTGTTATTCTGTCTCTCACTGTTCAAATAAACCTACCATTAAAATGATAGACGGATCATTTATTTGTCAGTGGGCAAACGTACAAAATCAGCAGGGGATCAAATACTTTTTTCCCTCACTGTACATAGCGTGTGCGTGTGTACATATATAGTGACATCAGGGATGTCACTGTATGGTGCCGGCCCGGGAGGGTCGTGGCGTGCGATGTTCCTACGTCGCGGACAGCACTGGGTGGGTTGACCTGTGTGATGCCGGCTTTACTATAGCACGGCGTGCGATGCACCATCATCGCGTACACCCCGTAGATGGGTGTAGTACCAGCCCTAGCGGGGTTTGGTGAGCTGTTGCCTCTAAAAAATAACGTCTGCGACTCAGTTGGACTCACTACACGTATGCATAAGCATGTGTGCGCATGCATGAGCGTGTGTGTGTATATGCAAAGGTGTGCGTGTATGTACAAGGGCGCGCGTGCCCACCTGACGTTGCTCTGCAAGAACACGCGTCCGTTGCGAACGTTGGCGGAGCTGCCGAGGCAGCAGACGACCTCGCCGTGCTCCTGCATCACCGCCACCATCTCGCACATCGCTGGAGACGCGCGCGTCGAAAAACACACACAAACAATGAACGTCTACTCCCGTCTGGCCTTCAACAGACTGTCGGAGCAAGTGCTGTTAGCGAGCAGCTATGAAAGCCGGCATGGCACACGAGGGGGTGGGTGGCCAGTCCCACGCCTGGCTGCCTTTGTCTCCCTAGTGGCGATGTTAACACACGAGGGCTAGCTAAGGTCCATGTCTCAGCATCTCAATGTCGGGCTAGGGGTGAGTACTAGCTCAGGGTCATGTCTCAGTGTCTCACTGTCGGGCGTGCAGTCCGTGAAGAGTGGCACGAGGAGCGGGACGTTGTCAATGTTCTCGAGGTGCGGCCGCACGTTCTCGATGCCTCGAGGAAGTTTCGCCTGTGCCAAACGAGATCAAGAACGCAGGTCAAGAGGTCATCAGGGTCAATGCTGCTGATGTCACCACACTACACCGTGACTTCCTTCTGCTAGATCCTACGGCTGTTGCGCAGGTTTAAAGCCTTTCCTTTAGTTGTCGACTTTTGTTTGGCCAGACAGAGGGGGCTAAATGGGCGTGGAGTATTGGCTACAGAGCAGATGGACTCGCGTGGTATCGCATTGTTTGAAGCCGATTGGACTTGCTGAGGTATAAGATGTGGCTGAGGCTCGTGAAGGATGCTTTTGGGAAGTTGGGAGGCAGCCGCCCTTCAGCAACAACGGAGAGCAGAGGAGCGACGCTCAGAATGACCAACGGAGCGCCAGGCGGATAAAACACGTAAGTTTGCACAGTATGGAGAACAGATGGTGCATCTGCTAGTCAACTCACCTGGGTTTCTCTGGTGACCTCCTGTCAGAAAGCCTTCAAGTGGCCTGTATGAGCACCTAAACTGACACAATAGTCTAGTGACGTCACCGCCACTTAGTTTCAAATATATGCTATTGTTGCAAGCGCGTTAGATGTGGAACTGTGTGAGAGTGTGTGTGCGTGTGCGCATATGTGTGTGTACGTGTGTACACATGCATATGCTAAAAGCACCTGTCCCAACAATCTGTTCAGGCTATAGGGGAGATCTTTGTCATTGTGTGCGTGCACGCATATTTGCATGCATGGGGAGCAGTAATGTAGCAATTCGTGCACTGCACTATGAATCCGGCAGCCCGAATTCGATTTCCTCTCACAGCCAACACCAGTGATGATTATCCAAACCGGTCCTGGGCTTCCTAACCAAAGTCGACTAACTCAAATGAGTATCTAGTGCAGTGTTTAAACATCACCGCTGGGCCGGCACGGCATGCAAGGGGGCATGGTGTTGGTCACCCACCCCCTGATGTGCCGTGCCGGCCTTCATAGGTGGTCACTAACAGCACTTGCCCCAACAGTCTATGAAGGCTATACGGGGGATCTTTGTCTTTGTGCGTGCATGGCGGACCCGGTTGGAGTACTCGAGGATGCTGGGCGCGTCACTGTCCGTGGGAGGGTAGCTCACGACGTCCGAGTGCGTCTCCTCCTCCAGCAACATCTGCACCTCCCTTTCTGCATCCGCACGGGGTCACAGGTCAGGGGTCAATGTCGCCATCGCACGATTTCCCGGGGTGAGCAGCGGCGAGGTGGGGGTAGGGGTGGCGGGGTAGAGGGAGGCGATGGCGGGCGCGGTGGCGGCGGCATCACCTTGCTGGGCATGGTCGTGCAGCGAGCTGGCCTGGCTGGGGCTGTGCGGGGGGGCGTCCGTGCCCAGGTCGTAGCCGCTGGACTGCAGCGAGATGTGGCAGTTCCAGCCGGACTCCAGGCCCATCTTCTCCGCAAACACCTGCATTCGCACGCGCACACGCGCACGCACTGACGGCATCGTTCACCGCAGTCCAAACACCCGCGCTGACAACGCCCGACTCGGTGCCATCGCAACCAAACAGCTCCGACGGGGAGCGTAGGAAATGCTTCACCGCTGACCGGCACTCCGTGCAGTATTTGTCAAGGCTGAGTGTGTAGGTATGCATGTTGAACTTCTTTCGCACCGTAGGTAGCCAACTGTGCTAATCGGAGGTGCGGGGGAAAAACAACAAACGAAACACAAAAAACAAATAAGTTTTCAATCTAGATGATTTAAAAGTGCGTAGCTCCAGTGGCTTCCTAATATCGGAAGAGCATTCCAGACGGCCGCAGAAGCGCATCTGAAATTGCGCAATGTAATGAGTAAGTAATGGTCATCATCAACATCATCCACGGTCAGCACACCACTGGATGAAAGCCTCCCCACCCCACCGCCATCTCCCGCAATGTTTTCATCTAGCCAGCTCCTGCATACGAGCCGATTTGGCCACTCCATCTCCCATGCTTAGCCAATAAGTAAGGTTTAACACGTAAACAGAACATGCCAATTCGTTACTAGTACAGGACACCGGTGTGTTGGAGAGCAAATCCACGTGACAAACCTTACTAATCGGTGGTGGCGGGTGGTGGCGGGATTAACGACACATTTATATTTACGCGATCTAACCCAAAAAACCTCTTATGCGTTAATGCTGCAGCTGGTGTTAAGACTCAGGCTGGAATCAGTGTCATCAGTGTTGTGGCCGGCGCTTCTGCTGCAGCTGCTGCTGCTGCTGCTGCTGCGTGAGCGCCAGCGCTAGCGGCGGCGGACCTTGCTACGGAGCTCGTCCTCCATGGAGAAGTAGACGAAGCGGATGCAGGCGCTGTCCAGACCGTCGACGAGGCGCACGATGTCGAGGCGCGCCTGGTACTGCGCCGACACGAGCCCCATGAAGATCTGCCCCGACAGCGCCTGCACGCCCTCGCCTCTCTCCGCGCCCTCGCCTATGCCCTCTGCCGCGCGCCAGCGAGCGGCGACGGTGGCGAGCAACACGGTAACGACAAGACGTGGATTCGCCTAGCGCGCAAAGACTCTTGACCCCTTTGCCGTTCCGATGATATACACGTACCGGAAGAAAAACTAAAATAAAATAAGTTTATCGGTACAGAGGCAATAAATTAATAAATACATTTCTCCGCCGAGTTTAGGAAAACATACTCTTTGGTTCTATTCGGTAAAGTCACGTGACTTTACCGAATAGAACCAAAGAGTATGGATCCTTGCAGTCACGAAAGCTTCAAATTTAGGAAAACAGTTTAATGAATGTGGGCAGTTATTCTATATGGTAAGTCGCGAGCAACATCGTCCTTACAGTCGTTACCGTAACTCCCCCGTTGCAGGCAGACTGGGCTAATGCATTAACGATTTAGACGAATAAACTATTTAATTTGAGCAGGTAAGGCCCCCTGAGTTATAAAGCTCTTTTTCAGAAGTGACCTGGCCACAAATTATAGCCCAACGAAGTGGCTTATGTGGACATTTATAGCAGCCAAAGAACCTAAAATCATGTTTCTAGGACCTGGAGACAAATTCATGTTACCACGGAGAGAACATGCAAACTCCAACTATACAGGCATCGTAAAGGTCGGGCCCACGACCTCCTGCATACCAGGCGAGGTAGTTAACATCTCACCACGGTCGCACCCCGAGTTGGAAAGCGTGTCATAAAAGTGAGCCGACGGTCTCACCGTCCGAGCTCCAGCTGTTCTTGCGAGCGCCGCTCGTCTTGACGGGCGTGTGGCCGGGGGTGTCGGCGTGGCGAGTGCCCCCCAGGTTCTCGGCCGGCCCAGCGGGGGCCGAGAGGGCGGCCACGGCGGTGGCGGCGTTGGCGGAGGCCGCGATGGCCCCGAAGGGGTCGTGACCCGGGGGAAGCTCGACGCAGCGCCTGTCCAGCTCGGGCGCGAGCGGCCCGTGCATGGGCTTGTAGGCGAAGGCAACGCAGTATCCCGAGAGGCAGGTGCGCTGGTAGAAATCGAGGACCTTCTTCCTGTGCGCGGACGCGGGTACGCGTGTCGAGCGCGAGACACCCAACACACACGGCAAACGGTGAACACGGTGCACGCACAATGCACACGCAAAACAGTAAACACGGCGCACGCACAACACGTGCGTGCGCAACAATGCACGAGCACGCCAAACGGCGAATGCACGCACACTGTACACACGCACGCCAAACGCACGCATAACACACACAACGCACACCAAACAGCAGACACACGAGCACACACACGCCCAACGAACACACGCACGCCAAACGGCGAACACAAGCACGTGCCCAAGTATAAGATAGGGCTACTACATTTTTGTGAGGCTCAACCATGACACATGGTGAGCAACAAGCCCCACGCACTTCTACATAGCCAAGCCACACTAATTCTGGTCTGGTGCCAACTAAACCTCATCACAATCCTCACCGCAAGCCTCTGCGTGTGCGATTGTCACAACAAGGCTGTGTGTGATTGTGACCGCATGTCTGTGTCTTTTGTATTTGTATGCCTGAAATGAGTACCTCGTGTAGTGTGTAAACACTTCTACTGGGGAGACGAAGGCAACTGGGCGTGGTGTTGGTCACACCCCCCCCACCCACCCCCCGTGCGTGCCGTGCCAGCATTTACAGGTGCTACTCGCAAACAGTACTTGCCCAAACAGTCTGTTAGGGCTATAAGGGGGATCTCTGTCTTTGCGTGTTCGCGAGCGCAGGAGACGGCAGGAGCACAGGAGGGACGTCACCTGTCGGAGGCAGACAGCGGGTAGATGTCGAACCCATCCCAGAAGTCCGTGCAGGCATCCAGCACCACGTCGGCCGTGCCGTGGGACAGCAGCTGCAGGTCACCTGTGGGTGCCGAGATGGTGGGAGAATCGTTTCGATTTAAAAAAACCGCGGCAGGGATTTCGAGTTTTCGTTTTTTCCCGGAAGTGAAATTTCGCCGACCGTGGTGAAAGATGGGCGAAAGCACGGGGCCGACAATAATAACGCGCGACCGCCGCTGTTCAGGGGATTTGGCTGCAATAAATTTACACACCATAAGCCACTTCGTTGCGCTATTATTTGTGGTCAGGTCACTTCTCAAAAAGGCTATATAGCTCAGCAGGCCTTACCTGGTAAGATAAAAAATAGTTTTGTCGAGTCAGCAGATGCTTCTGGGTGCGGTGGGGCTGTGCTGGGAGATATTTGAATATGTCGAGAGATGGCGATAGATGGTGGGAGGTGGTGGGAGACTTTGGGAGAAGGCAGAGCGCAGTGTGAGACAGGGAGGCTTAGCGTGGGGCACGTGACACGGTGTTGAGAGGGGGCCAGAGTGCGAGACAGTGAAACATGGTGGAAGAATTCGTTAGACAGTAGGCCACTGTTAGAGAGAGGGGAACAGATCAGGATACTGTTGGGCAATTTACTCATTCATTCATTCATGCACTATATAACTCCTTCGGTATTAACACACACACTCATCCACTAATTCATTTAGTCATTAATACTGTCACCAAACCCACCCACCCAATAATTCATACTATATGTATGTATGTTGAACTTCTTTTGCACTGTACGTAGTCAAACGTGTTCATCGGAGGTGCAGCGGAAGGACAACTAAACTTAAAAATCAGTTCTACAGAAATTAGTTTGTCAATCTACATTATTTAAAAGTTGCATAGCTCTCAGTGGCTTCGTAATATCGGGAGGAAAAGCGTTCCAGACGGCCGCAGAAGCGCATCTGAAATCCAACGGCAACAAATCAAGACGCACCGCAAATGCCTCCAAATCGCTTCTGCCCCATCCTCCCCGTCCCCCCCATCACACCCTGCCCTTCCCCCCTCCCACCCGCCGGTTCCTCTCACCAGAATTGAGGTCCTTGACGAGGAGAGAGACGAGGTGTCCGATGGGGAGGCGGCGCTTGACGACGGCGGAGAGGCGGCGCGCGCGGTCGCGCCCCGAGGGGAGGTGCTCGCCGCTCGGCAGCTGGAAGAGCGCCAAGTAGCTCTCGACCGAGAAAACGTCTTTGGCTCCGGGCGTGAAGCCTGCGTCGCGGACAAAACACGCTCAGCCACCTGCCCGCCCGCGCGGCTCCGTCCACATTCAAGCTCGGCCGTCGAGCGCGACCTTACGTTCAGCCGCCCGCTCGCTCGTTCGCTCGTTGGTTGGTTCGTTCGCATGGTCAGTCGATAATGAGTTAAGTTTTGATCGGCCGCCAATTCGTTGACAAAGTCGCACATCCGGCGAGCCGCTCGTTCATTCACTCGCCAATTCGCTGCGTCGCTCAAACAATCACACACTCAAGCTGCTTCCATCATTCATTCGGTCTTTAATGCAATCTTACATTCAGCCACTCGGTCATTCGCACTCTGTTATTAATACACTCATTAACTTCCTCCTTTATACTCCTCCATTCAACCACCAATATTCTTGTTGACTCATTCATGCACTCTATACCTCCTTTAGTCTTAATACACTCATCAATCCACTCAGCCACTCATTCATCATTAATACTCTCACCAATCCCACCCGCCCAATCAATCGTACTGCACCCAAATCCAACACCAACAAATCAAGACACACCGCAAGGGCAGCAAGCCCGCTCTCCCCAACCCCCTTCTTTAAACTCAGGGGCACAGCGTTCGGGACTAAGGTCTGCGGAGTTTCTGTACCCGCTGCCCACGTCACGGTTTGTGCTCTATGCTGGACTCCTATTGAAATATCATGAAAACTAAAATAAAGTAGACAACGCAAGCCTCCAATCACAGACCCCCCCCAACCCCGCAACCCAAACCACTACATCACCCCCGCCGCCTTCCCTGCTTGACCCCTATCGCGGAGTCGAACCTATGATGCGAGGCAGCTCGCAGAGCCCCCAGGGCGGCCGCGTGGGCAGGCAGGACGAGGCGGCCCTGCCGGCGCGAGCCGCCTGCGCCAGGTGGTCGCACAGGCGCAGCGTGCGCGGGGCGAGCGGCGCGTTGCACGCCGTGAGCAGCACGTTGAGGCCCAGCGGCTTGAGCGAGGTGGCGTGCAGCGGCCAGCGCGCGTCGTCGAACTGGACGCTCGCCGGATTCTGCTGGTCTTGCGACAGGCTCAGCACCTCAAGGCGGTAGTCGCACACGAAGTCGTCCGTCTCCCCGTCCACGTCGTCCCCGCCGTCGCCCTGACGTTCCGCCCCCGTCGCCGTCACCGCTTCCTCCTCCTCCTCCTCTTCTTCCGCCAGCTCAGCGATGGCCTGCGCGGCCGGGGGGAGCGGCCACGCTTTATAAGTTGTATGTCTGTATGAGTGTTGAACTTCTTTCGCACCGTACGTAGAAAACCGAACTAATCGGAGGTGCGGGGGAAGGACAGAAAACTAAACACAAAAATCAGTTCTAAAGAAATGGAAGGCCTCTCAACGTCGTGTTCGGAACAGAAATCTTTGACAATACTTCACCACCGTCACCCACCACCCCCACCTCCCCCCAGAGCATACACCCAGAGGTGAACCCACTCACCTCGACCTCTAGGCCGTCCCTGCGCCGCTCCTTCTCCGGCTCGCCGGCGCCGCCCTCCACGCACTGGCAGAAGCTGACGACGGACGCCCCCGCCGGTTTGGCCCCGGGGGTCGCTGGCGGGCAGCACCGAGGGCTTGAGCCGACGGTGAAGGTGGCGGCGTTGGCACTGCTGGTGGCGGTGGTGGTGGCACTAGGAGCGGCACATGACTTTCGACCTCCTTCGAGCGGGCGGGGAGGTTGGTCCAGGCCGCGCTCGATGTCGGCGCTCGGTGGGAGGAGGGACTGCGTCTCGCGTAACTGCTTAGGGAGGAGCGGGGAATGGAACGTCAGAAAGACACCCGTATGTTGCTTATGTTGTTTGAGGCTCCCGAGTTAAGCGCACGTGATATCAGAATGATGGCAGAAGGCAAGGAAGCAATTCATATACAGCTTTATAGCACTGGTTCCACGAACACATGAAAAGGTCGGACTCATTTACACACAAAGTGCCTGTCACAAATTAACCACAATACCTTGCTGATCTCGTCAGGGAGCATAAACCATCACGCAAACTCCAGCCATCCTCACACTAGCGGCTTTTGGCTCAATCATCGAACAAAGACGGTCACTGCATCGCGCACTTTCAGATGCGCTTCTGCGGCCGTCAGGAACGCTCTTCCTTCCGATAAGTTCAACATAAGCACACACTCGGTGGAACGGTGGTGCAGCGATTCGCACACTGCGCGACGAAAGCCCAGGCAACACGAGTTCCATTCTCACGGCCACGGCTGTTTCACATCAGTGGTAAGTGATGTCCGTACCCACCAGCACCCCCCCAACGCCCACTCCCCTTCACCAACACACGGACACGCTGACCAGCGCGACCGTGGATGGCATCGTGCTCCTCTCACCTCAGCCCACTCGGCCTCCAGGAGCCGCACGGAGCTCGACGACGACGACACCGCCGTTCTGCCCGCCTTCCTCCTCCGGGCGTCCGCCACCTCGTCCACCTCCTCCACCTCGTCCACCTCGTCCCCACGCTCCTCGTCTCCCATTTCCTCGTCATCATCTTCGTCGTCCTTTTCTTCTTCGTCTTCGTCGTCATCGTCGTAGCCAGGCTCTGGGCCGGGCTGGCTGCTGAAGAAGACCACCTTCTCGGGGCTGGGGTTTGCCCAGGAGAGGACGCCCTGCTTGTCCACGCAGCACAGCACCTGCGTGGCCAGAAAGTGGCAGCAGCAGCAGCAGCAGCGGCAGCAGTGGCAGTAGCAGCAGCGCCAGATGCAGTGGCAGCAGCAGTGGCAGCAGGAGCAGTAGCAGGAATGGCAGCAGCAGTGGCAGCGGCGGCAACAGCAGCAACAGCGGCAGTAGCAGCAACAGTAGCAGCAACAATAGCAGCAATAGATGAACAGCTGAACAGTCAGACAGACAAAGATCCCCCGTGTAGCCTTCACAGACTGTAGGGGCAAGTGCTGTAAGCGAGCAGCACCTATGAAGGCCGGCACGGCACACAAGGAGGTGAGTAGACAGGATGTTTACACACCGCACCAGGCACTAATTTCAGGGCCAGTCGACCTAAAGGAGGCCCAGAACCTGTTCGGATAATTGTCACTGGTGTTAGCTTTGAGCGGGAATAGCACTCGGGTCACCGGCTTCATAGTGCAGCGCGCTAACCGCTACACTATCGCTCCCCATGACACAAACAGACCGATGGACATACCGGAGAGTTGACAGACACACAGACGTACACAAAAGGCCACAGGACAGAGATTATACGAATGAGCAAACGTACAGAGCGACAAAACAGACGGACAAAGAACTAAACGGACAGGCGCACGCACACGCACGCACGCCAACGCACCGTGACGGAGCCCAGGTTGTGCAGGAGGCTGCCGGTCTGGCACAGCGCCGGCGAGCGTCCGCGGAGGACGCGGATGAAATGGCTCCACTCGCACAGGCACATTTCCTGTGGGGGGGGGGGGTGGTGCAGACAGGGAGGTGGGGGGGAGGCACGGACTCAGGCACCAGGGGTGGAGGATCGAGCGAGCGAGCGAGCGAGCGAGCGAGCGGGGTAACGCACGCGGACACCTGGCAGAACCACACGGATCACCGTGTAACGTTTCACACGGCGGTGTGGCTATCGAGTGCACAGGCGGCGCAAGTGTGTCGGGGAACCGTGCGCCTGGAGGTGCCCCCCCCTCCAAGTACCTGCACCAGCGCCCATGCCAACCGCACCACTGTGCCGCTGCTTTAACAGACCGTGGGCAGAGGCGAGTGCTGTTAGCATGGCGCACAAGAGGGTGGGGTCCCCCCAGCTGCCTTTGTCTCCCCAGAGCCGATGCTTTTACACCGCACCAGGTATTGAATAAAAAGGCCAATTCATTAGGTTAACGTTTTCGGCATTGTCTCATTTCCGCCGTTTCGTTTGTATTGTTTCTCATCATATCCGCCTCCTTTGTCACGCAGTTTCCTTCACTCCTTTGGAATTAAATGTAACACAAGACGTACGGTTTGTATGTAATTTTCAGGAACACAAAATGCATTAACTCCTGTACTCGCGTTTTCGACGCACGTATATGTATGTAGCGAGCTTTAAGAATCGACGTCAAATCATTGAACCGATGCGTCGATACGCCCCTGCCTGAAACGTTAGCCTGGTGCTATGCCCGTAGGGGAAATCGGCGGTAACTGAATTACAAAAGCATGCGCGTACTGCCACTGCCGATGAACGAGGCGGTTTTATGCATCACGCCAAGCTATTAAAGCGCCAATGATGCTTTGAACGTTAAATACCGTGACTTATCTGGGACGCCGCTGTGGTAGCGAGATGTTGACTACCTCGCCTGGTATTGACAGGAGCTCGTGGATTCGATCCCGACCCTGACGCCTGTTTATTTGGAGTTGGCACGCTCCGTCTCCATCGTGGTCGCGTGGAATTTTCTCCGGGTCCTGATATTGATGTCCACATGACAACGCCACTTCATTGCGCTATCTTTTGTGGCCAGGTCGCTTCTGAAAATCAGCTATATAGGCTCAGTGGGCATTATCTGGTAAAATATAAAAAAAAGTTTCAAATAGTTTTTAGGTTGTAATTCCGTTACGGCGACATTGCCCATTGCACAATTGAACAAGGCAGTGGGAAGGATGACGGAAACGAGGAGTTTTGTAGAGGTTAAAACACGAAGAAACACTCATCAGCGTTCCCAAACCCGTGCAACTGAAGTTAAACAACATGCATGCATGGAGCAAAACACACACACATACATGCGCGTAAGAAAGAGCTAAATATTTTAATTGTTACTTTTTAAAGATGACGAAATGAATGACTGCAGGGGGACAAACGGAGCACGTGAAAGCGCCGGTTCATGCCGGCATCGTCGGTGGAAATTGCCGTTCGGCGATGAGCGTCGCGCACCGACTGCCCGCGGCGCAGCCTCGCCGAGCCGGGCGGCGGAACAGCCGCCTACGCCGATTCGACCCATCTCGCTAGGCCGCACACGGCCAACCGATTCATCGATCCGGACATCCGTGAAAAAGATGCTTCGTAGCTCACCGGATTATTCCAATCTAAATAAAAGATTCTGACTGTGATCAATCGGAAGAATGCCTCCCTCGGTTTCGCGCGTACGTTTCAATTATCGCCACTGCGGGGGCCCGTCGCGGTGGGCGCAGAAAACGCCGCCGAATGCGCGCGGATCACCAAGGTGAAACTGAAACGGCTGCAAGCATTTAAAAGGGCACACGGACGCGTGCAATCCCGTGAAGTGACATTGCTGCTTGCGTCGAATGGAAAATGCAATCCAAAGGATGTAACTCGCAAGAGTTTCAGTGGCACGACCGCCGGTGCTTTCAAATCTGTCGCTGCGGCGAGGTCACTGCAGCGTTGGCTGACAGTTTTGTGAAACGATTCCATCCGGAGGCTATCACGATCGATAATTAAGTTTATTTTGGGTTATTTTGTGCTGGTATAATACATTTTTCTTAACTATAACCCTTCGCCACCATCAGACGGCGCTAGTCACGTGGGCATATATGTAAATTGATTTGGTGTGTTCGAAATACTGGAATGTTGAAATGCGAGCAACATTTTTTGACTAATCATACACAAATAAATAAATTGGTATCAATTTTGCTTGGGCTTTTCCACATCCCGGTTTTAATGATAAACCAGACTCATGATCTCCACACCGATGCTCATAATTATTTTGAGTTAAAACTTTTCCGTATTGTTGACGAAGCTTCCCATGTACGTTGGACGGTCCCGGGTCATGCCGCTTAGGTATGCATCTACAAGGTTAAAACGAGGGCGGGGGGTGTGATGGTGGGGGGGGGTTACGGCAAAGCAGATGGCTCAATGGGGAGAGGATGACGATGCAAGCAGAAGGGGGTGGGGGGGGGGGGCGCGGGGGTACGTGTACCTTAGAGGACACCACTTCAGTGTAGCTGCTTATAGTGTCCTCAGAGAACTTAGCGAGCTACAAGCGAAACACAGGGAGGAATCAGAGGGCGAGGCAAAAGCACTACACAGCGACGATCACAAACGTCACGGAGAGATCGACGGGGAGGGCGTGACGAGGTGTGTAAGCATGTAGAACTTCTTTCGCACCGTACGTAGCCAACCGGAGGTGCGGCGGGGGGGGGGGGGGTGGGAAGGACAACAAACTAAGCACAAAAAAGCAATTCTAAAGGAATGAGTTTTCAATTTAGAAAATGACTTTTCACAGACCATCGACGCGTGACCCAGCAGAGTTTGCTCAAGAATCACGACGCACTCCACCCCCCTCCTCCCTCCCTGCACCCGCTCTCCCCTTAGAATATTGGTTACCTCTTCCTGGCCCCAACCTCCCCCCGCTCCATATATATAAAAGCCCTCACTCCCCCCACCTTCCTGGACGGAAGATCCCACAAGTTGGGGACATCGAGCCTCCCACCTCCCACTTAGGTATGGATCTGAAGCGCCGAAAGTTCTCCCCCCTGCGTTTTTTCAGTCCCCCTATCCTGAAACTACCGACGTGTTGTCCCGGGCTTGCGTGTTTACCGCAACATGAAAAAATGTAAGTAAAATAAAAAAATACAAAAATAATCACGACACAGTGCCCTGGACCGGTCTCATCAGTGGCGGCGTTAAACCAATAACGGGTAAGTTATTAGTTTAACGGAGAGCTGTCTGTGAACACCGTGGGGTCCCCACAAAGCCACATCCAGCGAAGCGGCGATTGACAAGCTCATGGTGCGCTGTCTTGCCTGACGCACGTAAATGATAAGCGGCGTGTTTTGCTTTATTCGGCTTAATTAGCGGACACCAGCAGCACGTGACCAGACTTGCGATGCGAAGTTCTCCGGTTCGATTCGATCTCCCGGCGACGGCCGCTAAAACTATCGGCAGGCGGTTTTCACGAGCGTTCGCCAGGTTGGGGACCATCGTAGAAAAATCGGCGCTGGTGTCAGACATCGCAGCGACATTTTTTGACCTGACTCTACAAATTTAGAAAGGGGGGTTGAGTTAACAGTACGGTGGTGGGGGGGGTCTATGGGGGTGCTCAGCCCTCACCAGCCAGCCTCCCCCCCCCGCCGTTCCTCCCCAGACACAAAAAGCAGGGTGGGTTTCTCGGCGAGAGTGCAAAGGCGCGAACGTACCAAGGGCGTGGGGGGCGCCTTGCTGAACTGCGCGAGCACCTTGGCCTCACCGTACGCGTTCACCAGCACCCAGAGCCCCGGGAAGATGAGCGGCAACAGCGGCAGGACGCCGTTCACCTGCACGAGCAACCGGGGAGCAACAGGTAGCCGGGCGGCAGAGCGTGCGACATTGGCGGGGCACGATGCGTCTCCACCGTGCCGGTTTACAGCAGGAGCTGGCGGTGACGCCTGCTGTATATTTGGAGTTTCCATGTCTCTCCCCGTGGTCGTGTGGATTTTGTTTTCTCCGGGTCCTTCGGTCTTTCCCTCTCCACATTTAGAAACGTGCATTGAGATTATTTAGATTATTTGGCTGCTATAAATTTCCACGTGACAAGCCACTTTGTTGAGCTATTACTTGTAGCCAGGTCAGTGAATATTACTGTTTCTGAAGCAGCACTCTCGTGAGGAATCGGGTGAAGCCGTTGCGATGGGACGTCCCGGTTTTCCGCCGTGCTCTCTCTCCTCTCTCGTTTATTTTTAGATATTACCCAACATAGATTCTTAACGTTCGTCAGAAAATCTTTCAGGCAAATAGGGGGGAAGAGATGCGGCGGCCAGTGGTCTTGATTTGGGGGGAGGACCGCTGGGCTATGGTGATGGGCTGCGGGGTGTACCTGCAGTTGTATGAACGTGTAAACAGGACTTCCAATGCCGGGCGCCTTCAGGATAAACCGCAGAGCGTTGGTGACGAGCAGGAGAAGCTGTGAACAAGGAAGCGAGGACATCCTTCAATCGCTTGAATTGGCCGGGCTTTAACATACGTGATAATTGACCGCTGGGTCTCGGAAGCTAGGCAGGGTGGAACCTGGCGAGCACTCGGAGAGGTGACCACTGGGGCTTGCCAGGTGTTGTAGGCGTAGATACGTATGTATGTTGAATTTATTTCGCACCGTAAGTAGCCAACCGTGCTTATCGGATATACAGCCACATTTGCCAATGTGATTTGTAACTTTTAATCTGACCCGTGTATCGATAGTTACTTTAATGTGCAATGTAACTGAGGGACTGTGTGTGTTTTGGGACTGTATTCATTGTTGTTTTTCTGCTTCGCCCCAAGCTTGCAGTTGGTGTTTACAAATCAGCAGAAATGTATGCACCGGTGCAATTAGTACAACTTTATTCATGTTTGTTTATTTTAGCGACTTGCTTACGTTTTCTCTATCTTGCTCTTATATCGTGTTTTTATTATTGTTTGTTGATGTAACTCGTTGCAGCTGCGTTGGTGGTCGCGTTGCACGGTCTTCCACCGGCTGTGCGTGCGGCTGCGCACACGTGGTTGTGCATGCGTGCGCGCGAGCGAGCAAGCGGTTGCGTGTGCGTCGCACCAGCGTGGCGGGCACGACGAATCGGTGGAGCAGCGTGCGGGCGGCGAAGCACTCGTTGTCCAGCACGCTGACGGGGCGGCCCGTGCCACCCTCCAGGCACTTCCTGCCACCACCAAACAACGACGGCGAGGACGGTGAAGATGAGAAAAAAAAAACACGGAAAAATGTTACTGACAACTGGGGGGGGTGGGGAACGGGTGCAGCGATGAAACAGTGCATCGACTGAAATTGATTCTTACGCTCACGATACATGCATGGAATGATGTGTGTAAGAATCCAATATTACTGAATTGTATTTGAAGTAGATCACTAGCTCACATGGCCCCGCGCAGACACTGGAGGTGCTACAATGTACTACAATTAAAACAGATTTTTATTTTCATCTTCTTTGGTTCTTTCGGTAAAGTCACGTAGAATGAGAATAAAATAACAAATTAATAAAATAAAATAACACAATAAAATTCTCACGACGTTTCGGCCACAACACAAGTGGCCTTCATCAGGTGAAGGGACGAGACTGTCTGGAGGACAGCGCTGGAGTCACGAAAGCTTTAAATCGAAACATTTTTGTTCTTTTCTAATCGAATTGTATCAGCAGCATCTCGCATCCACTGCACCCTGTATGATGGACGTGTCTCAAGATGCCGTGTGTCGAGCTTCATGTTCTCCAGCATGGGCATATGCATCACATGGAACACTCGCACACTCAGACAAATGTTCCCCTTATAGCCTTAACATACTTTTGAGGCAAGTGCTATTAGCGAGCACCTATGAAGGGCGCGAGGGCACACGAGGGGGTGGGTGGCCAACACCACGCCCCAGTGGTGTTGTTTACACACCATTTCATGCCAAGCCAACCGGTTCAGATAATCGTCACTGGTGTTGGCCGCGAGCAGGTATCGAACTCGGGTCACTGGGTTCGTAGTGCAGCGTGCTAACCGTTACACACGCACACACACTCACACTCGCTCTCACCTGACGCTCTCCAGCACGGGTGTGCGCGTCACACGGAACTGCCGCGGTTTTTGCGGCGCGTGGGGGCGGCCGCGGTCACACGGCACGGGCGACGCCAGCGGCGAGGGCCGCAGGAAGAGGTCGCCCGGCGCCAGCAGCAGGTGCTCCTCGTCCTGCTCGCACGAGGAGACCACACGGCGACGCACGGTGAATACGCGGCGGCGGACACAAGGTCTTTCTTCCAATTCCGTTCCGTCATTGGAATGGAAAAGGGTTAAAATATATTCTTCGGCTCACGATATGTGCGTTAAATCGTTAGCGGGAAGATTTATCTTTACATTTAGTTGAAATGTCATGCAAATTACACGCTAATGGGAACATTTAGTTTAACGAAGTGAACGGAACTGTACAGAGATAGAACAAAAAAGAAATTACGCAAACAAGATGCAAAAGAAATGAACGATGAGGAATCAAATCACGACCGCTGAATCGTAAACAATTCTTCGAATCACTGGGGTCCGTGGGGGGGGAGCTGGAGTAAATCCTTACACGGATGGTAGTAAACACAGCGCGCCAAGTTTTTTTAGTCGCTAACTGAGACAGAGAGAAGCGCTGGCCTTGATTCCGCGCAGGTGCACGGGGGCGTCCTGGCCGGGCCGTAGCGAGATGACGTCGCCCTCGACGAGGAGGCTGAGCGGGAGGTTGATGAGCGCACCATCACGGTACGCCCATTGCAGTGCAATGGCTTTCGAGTGCGGCATCAGCAGGTCCGGGTAGGCCAACTTCTCCCAGGGGGTCGTGCGGCCATCGCCGCACTCACGCAGCGTGTCTACGCAGGAGAGAATGGGAGAGAAGGAAGAGAAGGGAGAGAGGGGAGAGAGGGGAGAGAGGGGAGAGAGGGGGAAGTCGAAAAGAGCCAGAGAGAGGGCAGAGAGAGAGAGGGCAGAGACGGAGAGAAGGGAGAGACAGAGAGAGAGGAGAGACAGAGGGGAGAGACGGAGAGAGGGGAGAGAGGGGGGAGACGGAGAGAGGGGAGAGACGGAGAGAGGGGAGAGACAGAGAGAGAGGAGAGACAGAGAGAGAGGAGAGACAGAGGGGAGAGACGGAGAGAGGGGAGAGACGAAGAGAGGGGAGAGACGGAGAGAGGGGAGAGACGGAGACAGGGGAGAGACGGAGAGAGGGGAGAGACGGAGAGAGGGCAGAGATAGAGGGGAGAGAGGGTAAAGTTGGAGAGAAGGGAAAGACGGAGCAAGGGGCGAGACGGAGAGAGGAGGAGAGAGGGAGATGGCGGCGCCTACAATTATACCCACGATCTAAAAACAGTATGTTACCATGAGTGATTAAATGAGCGAGTGTGCACGTTAACAAGCAAACGAGCGAACGAGCACCGACCGCCAATGCCGTCGAGCAGCGAGCGCAGTCGGCGCGGGATCTCCGTGTCCTTGAGCCGCGCCTGCCGCCCCATCACGTAGAGGTTGACTCCCAGCAGCGCCAGCAACGCCAGCCCATTCACCAGCTCCGCACCCTCGCTGCAACGCACGTGACAACGCGCTCACTCGGCGGCCGCTTCACAACGGATGCGAGGCCCACAAGCGGCACGAGCCGTTTCTGCCGTGATATCTAAAAATAAAAATAAAAATCTCACGCGGTAGAAGTGACATGCGTGACTCAGGTGGAGATATTGCTATGTCATACACACGAGCCGACACTTCCTGAGATTTTGGGTTCAAATCCAGGTTTTAGCTGCCTGTCATTAAACTAGGTTCTCAAGGGTAGCTCGTTGTATGTACGTATGTATGCATGTTGAACATCTTTCGTACCGTATGTAGCCAATCATGGTAATCGGAGGTGTAAGGGGAAGGACAACTAACTAAACACAAAAAGTTGATGGTCTAATGTAAATCTTGACTGAAAGCTTTCGTGACTGCAGGAATTCATATTCTTTGGGTCTTTCGGTATACTCACATAGATAGGTTCAAAGAAAAAACTAAAAATAACAAAAAAACTAGTACTTTTTTGTTATTTTCTTTGAACCTATCTACGTGACTTTACCGAAAGACCAAAAAAATAGGTCTAATGTAATGTGATGTAAATAGTAATTTAAGAAACTCAAAATCATGCGAATAGCATATTTAATGCGCATTGCAGTCTGGTCACACTGTGTTCATTACATTAATTTTAAGGTATCTCTAGAGGTGGTTGAACTCACGGTCTAAGTTCAGTCACCAATAATTTCACAGAAGATCCATCGTATTAAATTTTCTTTCACTTAACTTGGCTAAATGCTATCTCCGAGACTTAAAAATATATCTTCCGCTGTCATTCGGCGAACGTTAATCTGCCGTAGGAGAGAGGGTGAATGATTAATTGCCTATTAAGCACCCAGAAAACTGTCCCTGAATCCCGCCGCACTCTGACCGCTGCAGCCCAAACAAAATATAAACTCTCACGGACAAAACCAAAACTTGATGGTTCGAGCCCAGTCCTTGAGCAGACAGTTATATCTGCCACACAATCCCTTCTTCATTGCCAGCACAATGGGTGGTGGGGGGCGGGAGGTGTGTGGGGGGGGGGGTGTCTCACCTGCCCTTGGGCTGTCCCCCATGGCAGCAGAGAAGCAGCATGCCCGCCAGCAGCATGAGCAGAGCGCCGAGCAGATGGAAGCACGACCAGCGGTTTCCGTGGTGCAAGAAACTCCTCTGCCATGCCAGCTATACCGGAGCAAGGGACGAGACGGGACAAGACGAGAGGAGATGTAGGTTCACACTAAAGCCCCAGTGAGGGCCACAAGGTGATGCGACGGGCCCTTGTGCAAGGGAAAAATAAGGAAATATGCGGACAAAAATACCGAAGTGGAATCCTTACCAACAGACGTTCCGCGGAAACGCAGATCAGAGCTACCACCAACCTCCGAATGAGAAAAGGTAGTTGAGATAGAGAGATGGGACAGGACTCGGCCAGAAACCAAAACTATAAACTGAACTAGTTCTATTTTACGAGGTAAGGTCCACTGAGCTATATAGCTATTTTCAGAAGCTACCTGGCCACAAATGAAAGCTCAACGAAGTGGATGATCATATGGACAGTTATAGCAGCCAAATACTCTAAACGCATGTTTCTAAACGTGGAGGGAAAAACCGGAGGGCCTGGAGAAAAATCCACGTGACCGCGGGGAGAGAGACATGCAAACTCCAAATATACAACAGGCGTCAGGGTCGGGATCGAACCCACGACCAGGTGTGGGAGTTAACACCGAGGGCACCACAGTAGCGAGATGTTAACGACGCGAGCGAGGGGGGGGGGCCTCCTCACCGAGCGAGGTCGGTCCTCCTGCTGCCGCTGGTGGTCGGCGAGGACCTTCTCCAGCTGCTGCTTGAGGATACCGAGGGCTTCCACGGTGGTGAGACCCAACCTCTCCGTGCCCTCGCTCCCCTGGCAGCGGTGGCACCGGGGGGGGGGGGGGGGGGGGGGGCCAGGGGAAAGCGGAGACGGAGTACGGAAGAAACGAAAACCGCCGTCACCAAATCGTCACGCGCGTCGTCGTACGTGTCGGTCACAGTTGCGGAGAGTCTGTATGCGGACACGGCATGATCATGGCTTCAACGCTTCTCCAGAAGTGACTGCGTGGCTCGGGGTAAGAGCACTGAGCCAGCACAGTTGAGGATCCTGCATTTGAATTTGGGTTTCAGTCGCTAATGATTCAAACAGGTTCTCAGCAACGACTGCGCATCAAACCAAAAATATAACCACATTAAATTAGATTTTTTTGCTTAATTTTATGAAAATGCCAGCTCTGAGAATTAAAATACACAGGTTTGATGACTACCATGCAATGAAGATTTCTCTGTAGCCGAGCAGACAAGTGAGCAAGCGAGCAAGCGAACAAGCTCAACGAACCTGCTTGCTCTTTGGGGACGCTGCCATCGCCGTCACAGCGCCGACCGTTGTCCGCGCTGGCGCTCCAGGGTGGCACGGCACCCCCGCGCCATGCACCAGCCTCGCGTCTCGGTGCACACTCAGCGAAGCTGGCGGCTGACAACAAAAATTAACGGTCGATCACAAACCAACACGTGCGACGGCACGTCACGTAAACAATTTGCTTGTGCCCACAATTAAAAATACACCCAATGGGCAGTCGTGAATGGGTTTCTTTCCCATTGCAATTAAATTTGCAATTAAGTTTACTAGGCACGTATTGATTCACACCGAAAGGAATTTGACGAATGGTCACAATTGAGGGTCATGATCCCATTCAAGAATCAGTTTTTTTTTACTTTACTGTATGATAGTTGGGTAGTGCAGCCCCTTTGGCGTCCATGTACTAGGTGCCTCTGTGGATGTGTAAACTTTGACTTTAACATAGCTATTTCTGTGACCAGTCACAAGCTAATCCCTCAGCTATTTCAATGCTAAATTCTCCTGTTTGATATGTAAACTCCTTTGTCAAGGTGCCTCACTTCTCTCACCCAGCTTAAAAGACGCTACGAATCTTAGCAGCGTTCATTGAAGCTCTGTCGTCCCGACAGTTCTGTTCCTTCACCTGAAGAAGGCTACTTGTGTTGTGGCCGAAACGTCGTGATTTTTGTTGTTTTATTTTTTACCTACGTGACTTTACCGAATAGAACCAAAGAGAATCAGTTATTTTTGTCGTGTTTGACAATCCCGTTTCTCATTGATATGCAAAGTAACCTTTGCATATGATATGCAAAGTATATCTTTGCATATCACTTTGATATAATTTGCATAAATCTACATTTTATATACTCCAATATAAACAATTTGATGCATGCCTTGCGATTGCAAGAATCGATTTTGATCGTCGATTGGATGCGTCATCGTTTCACGAGTAGCGCTTACAAGCGTGTGTGTGTGTATGCATGCATGGTTAGTGTAATTAAAAAACATGAGGGCGTTTGCTTGCCCTGTATGTGCCACAACAATAAGCGCTGCAAATGTTTCCATTCGGCGTTGCCAACTGGAAACTTGGGAGTCAGTAAATAAAATGATTAATAATGTAACTTTTTGGTTCCACGTGACTCAACAGCCTTGGACACAGCAGACTTTGAGAGCGAGTTGAACTTTGAAACCCATTTCCCATGTAAGGTATTTGCGTAAAAGCACAACATTCCCCACTGTCCACGCTCTGGTCCAATTATCATGGCAACTTTTTGATTCACCTTTCAACAAATTCGTCTCAAATTCTCTCTCTGCGTGGTTGCACGAAGGAGGGGAATCCAAACGTCATCCCCGCGTCGCCAAAGTCGAATGTATCAACAGAGCCTGTGCAGTCTTCATCAGGGGTTCTCAAGTTCTTACCCAGTGCACCTTCAATTAGCACGGTTGGCTACGTACGGTACGAAAGAAGTTAAACATACAGTACATACATTGACCAAAATGTTCAAGTCACGTACACAATCAAACAATTAAGTATTGATTCATCGATTGCTGCAGTCTCTATTGATCAAATTGGGTATTTTTATTCAACGGTTAAACCCATTAATTAAAGAGCATCGACGGACTATCTACCTTTGTCTCAATGCATTCGTGATTAATCAATTACACCTGTATAGATTAGTGCATTATTCCCATGTCGATTAATCAATTAGTCGTACAGTAAAAACCTCTCAAAGCTGGTCTCGAGTAAGCCATAATGCATGGTAAGCCGGTCAGGTCACCTGAAGTATAAACAATATATAAAGTGTAATAGGTATTTTTGAAGATCCAAAGCACTGCTGACTGGACTACATTTCGCAATTAATCCGCAAGCATCGGTCTACCCCAGGGGTTCGGTAACGAAAACAGCAAGTCATTTTCTTTCGAATATGGTAAACAAAATCTCAATATTTCAAGAGGCCGCAATGCACTGTGTCGTGAATACGAGACACGGTGGCATTCCTGTCAACCTCCTTATCAGTGCCCTACCTTATTGCAGACCAATTCAGACGTTATTGGTCACCCCGTGCACTTATAAATCTCAACGTTCATCCTACAAAGTCCCATCACCAAGGGTGAAAACTCAATTCCCCTGTACAAGAATACAGCAGGGTTAACCCGTATGGGTTGACAGCTTTGCGGTAGTGGGTCACGGAGCGGTCCTTAAAGAGGCACCCCATGAGGTTGCAGAGCCTCAGGATGCCGACCCCTGCCCAGGTCTTCCCCCCCCAAAAGGTCTATGACAAACCACGTGCAGGAGATGCATATTGCGCTTGTCAACCACTAGGAAGTATAAGCGTGAGACTCTTATGCCCAAAGCTGTATACGTATATATTCTTGGTTGAAACTTGAATTTGGAGCTTTCGTGACTGCAGGAATTATTCTTTGTTTTTTTTAGTAAAGTCACGTAGAAATAATAAAATAACATAATAGTGTACGACGTTTCGATTGCAACACAAGCAATCATCATCAGGTACAGAAGAGCTAGATTTACGAGAGAGAGGAGACATAACCGCGGAAAAAAAAAACAAAGAATATTCTTGGTTCTTTCACTAAAGTCGCGTAGACGGGAAAGAATAAAATAATAAAAAATATAAAACAATAAAATTATCTCGACGTTTCGACTGCAACAAAAGCAATCATCATCAGGTGTGAAAACCACAGCAAGAAAATGATGATCGCTTGTGTTGCAGTCGAAACGTCGTGAGAATGTTATTGTTTTATATTTTTATTATTTTATTGTTTCCCTTCTACGCGACTTTACCGAAAGAACCAAGAATATGAATCCCTGCAGTCACGAAAGCTTCAAATCAAGATTACACATCCAGTTAATGTACACATTTCCATCTCTGCACCAATCGCATCCAATATTTTGGTTATCGAGCAACGAAATGTGAATTACAAGCGGTTAGGTTTTAATGAATTGTAAGTGCAATTACTGAAGTCAAGTAATTGTTGAATGTTTTGATTTGGTTGAATGTTTGCCGGACATCCCACACACCCGGGAAGTCTCTCCACCCCAATTATCCCGGTCTCTACAAGTTGTACATCAACTTTTCAATCGATACTCATCGAATAGTATCGATTAATCCACAATCGGTCTCGGCCAATCGATGACTCCGATCCCATCTAACACCACCACTAACTACTACTATCAACGCTGTAGAGTATTTGCAATAATATAACAACGCTTTGCCAAGCCATCGACAGGTTAACGCCTCTCTCTCTCTCTTCACCTACGCCGTTGCAGGCGACTTTGTCACGTAGGCGATTTGACCATACTTCACCACGCTGGTCACTGCAGGTTGGCTGAAGGTGGCGGCGGGAGGTGAGTGGTGGTGGTGGTGGGGTGCACAGGACCGGTTCAGATATCACTCGCCACTGATGATAGCCGTGGCCGGGAGATCCCAGCCACGATTCGGAGCGCGGTGCGCTAACCACAGCGCCACCGCTCCACCTCACAGGTAGATACAGTACAGCAAAGCCTAAAGCGTTGCGCACGTAAGCTCGCTTTAAACGCCGACGTCCAAGCACCGACCAGCTAGGCGATCGAACAAACGTTTCGTTGTGATCAAATGATACGCGCAATTTTAATTAAACTCCCGTTCAACCCGGCTGTTCGCGCGCGTTTACACGAATACAGGGCACTGTACGTGCATGGTGTTAAGACGGAGGCTGGACGCTTGCCTGTAAAAAGACATTGACGCGATCGACGTTGACTTTACCACGGCGGGGGGGGGGAGGAAGGACCTCCTGCGCGCGAGATTCACCCAGCTAATGAAGCGGATAGCGAGGCTCGAGAGTGAACGATCTTGCAAACGGCGCTGCTACTTCTGAAGAGGCGATTATTATGAAACTCGCCGCTAAGCCTGAATGCGGTCGGTCACGCCGAATAACCAAACGCGAAACGGGCCCCCACCCCCATCCACCCACCCCACTATCTCCCTCCCTCTGGCTGACGGCTCGACCGCCGTGGCCACCGTAGTTTCCGAAATTCAAAGGCGCGTTCTGATTGGCCCGCGGCGCGCCGTCCCCAAGGGAGAATAAGCGCGGCCGTGATTGGCCGGCTCCGCTAATTCTCTTCCCATTCCGTAAGATCTCTTCCTTTGCGTTTTATTCAATCTTCTATCTTCTGGAAGATACATGATTGCGATTATGATTGATTTTTTTTTAAAAAATGCATTTATATTCTTTGAGTCTTTCGGTAATGTCACTTAGATAGGTTTAAAATTATTTTTTAACACAAAAAATATTTTCAAAAAAATATGTTTTTTTTAACCTATCTACGTGACTTTACCGAAAAACCCAAAGAATATGAATTCCTGCAGTCACAAAAGCTTTAAGTCAAAACAACATTTGTTTAGCAAAACCTCTTCCAATTCCAGAATAATTCAGAAATATGTCATTTCATGGGTGGCGTTATGCTATAAATGTCCAAATGATGGGGCCACTTTGTCATTGAGCTGTAATGTTGTGACCAGGTCGCTTCTGAAAAATAAATTGATACCTCAGTGGGTTTTACCTGGTAGGATGGGGATGGTTCAGCGTTGTATTTGGATGTGTGATTTGTTTACATTTCCTATACTTTGCACTCATATCGTGTTCTTTGTAATGTTTGTTGTTGTAACGCTCTTACCCGTCCCGACTGGACATCTGTGAAAAAGAGCTTTATAGCTCATCAGATTCCTCCTGCAGTATAAATATTCTGATTCATTATTGGTTTATTTTGGGTTAGGCCGTTTAAGAGTGTGTCATTAACCCGGCAAAAACAACCCCCTACCTCGTTGGTGCCGGGCGGCAACGCTGTGGTGGGCAATGCCGTGGGGGGGAGGGCTAATTTAGATTTGCCATTCTCCTCGTGGCGTTTGTAACCACCACAGCGGCCAAATGGGGGCTCTGTCCGGGTGCGAGGGGCTGGTAACCCCTCCACCTTTAATTAATTACCACCCAACCACAATTACAAGTTTTAATTAAGCTTGTCCTGGAGGCCCCGGGGGACAGGCGTCTTTGACTTCTCCTGGCCAAACCCCATTTGGCAGAACCAGGAGACTGAATCCTTACCCTCGGGGCTCCTCCAGAAACAACAAAGCCACTATGGGTGGCCACGTGGAATGTTCGAACGCTCAATGCGAAGAAGAGGCTGCCACTCCTCTGTTGGGAGCTGGACCGGTACCGCCTGGATCTCTGTGGTATTCAGGAGGTCCGGTGGACAGGCTCTGGCTCCTGCCACCATGAGGGGTGGACAGTCCTCTACTCGGGGCAGGAGACTGCCAAAAAACAGGAAGTGGCTCTTCTTCTGAACAAAATAATGAAGGGGGCGTGGGAGCGTGGCAGTGAGGTGTGGGAAGCTGTAAGCCCCAGCCTACTTTGGGCTCACCTTTCCATCAACCGGAGGCGAGGAGTGGTGGTCATGGTTACTTATGCCCCCACTGATGACGAACATCCGTGGAGGGATACAGGCAAAGCCGATCAGTCAGATGCCTTCTATGACCTGTCACAGGTGCTAGCTAAAGTGGCCCCTCGGGATAGAGTCATTTTGTTGGGAGACTTCAATGCCCGAGTTGGTCATGATGCTGGCACCTGGTCTGGAGTGATTGGAAGGCATGGGGCAGATCAGCTCAATAACAACGTCAGGAGGCTGCTAGATTTTTCTGCAGCCCATGGGCTTGTAATTACCAACACGCTGTTCCGGCATCGGCGCATCCACACAACATCATGGATGCATGCCGGGTCCAAGCAAGAAGATCTGCTGGACCACATAATGACGGAACAGCGGATGCGGGCCCATGTCCTTGACACCAGGACATACCGTGGAGCTGATCTGCCCACTGATCATCGACTTGTCATGTGTAAGATGCGCCTGCCATTCTTCCAATCCGGTGGTGGGTGTACACCCAGGACCCCATTCAAACCCATAGTGGCATGGTCTCATCTAGCTGATGAATGTTGCAAGCGAGAATTTCATCATCGCTTGCGGCTGGGGTTGGCATTGTTCCCCACTCCTTCTGATGTCGAGGGGAAATGGGCGAGGTTTAGGACTGTGGCTCATGCAGCTGCAATGGCTTCTTTGGGTACACGGTCAAGACTTCCCCAGAGACCCTTGCTGACAGAGGAAGTGTTCAGGCTGGTTCAGAAAAAGCGACAGGCCCACTCTCATCGTCTACAGCATCCAACTTCAGAGAATGAGGAGGTTTACCACAGCCTTCGCTCGGAGGTTCGGAGAGCCATGAGGCACTGCAAGGATGGGTGGTGGTCGCAGGTTTCTGAGGAGATGGAGTCTGCCTCAACGGCCCGCGATCACAAATCGCTCTTTAACTCCATTAAAAAAGTATCCTGCAGCGCCACACCTATTACCATCATTAGGGGAAAGAACGGTGATCCAATCTCTGACCCCCAGGAACAGATTTGCAAATTTGTTGAGTATTTCTGTGAGGTCCTGGGGGAGGGGGAATCCTTCAGCCTGGAAAACATCGTGGGACAAAGTGAAGATTACCCTGTTGAGGCTTCGGTGCCTCAAATATTGGAAGAAGTCGCCCCCTGTGAGTGGCAGGCTGAGGTGCCATCTGTTGAGGAAGTACTGAAGGCGATCTGGAGTCTGAGACTAGGAAAGGCACCGTGCAGAGATGATCTCCCAAGCGAAATGCTGAGGGAGGGTGGCGTTTGTGCACAGACTGCCCTACATGACATCATAACAACAGTCTGGACCACTGGACAGGTTCCGCAAGATTGGAAGTATGCCCTGGTGGTCCTCCTTTTTAAGAAGGGGGACCGCACAGACTGTAACAACTACAGGGGCATCTCACTCCTCAGTGTGCTAGAGAAGGTCCTGGCAAGGATTCATCAACATCGCCTTGCCAGGCATGCTGAGGAGAGGCTTGTGGAGCCCCAATGCGGTTTCAGGAAAGGGCAGTCCTGCACAGATGCCATATTTTTTGTCCGCCTGCTACAGCAGATGTGTAGGGAATTCCAACAAGCTCTACATCTCTGCTTTATTGACCTGGTCAATACCTATGATACCATTAGTAGTACTGGGCTCTTGGTTGTTCTTCGTGCTTTCGGTGTCCCTGACCCTCTGCTCATGATCATTAAGGACCTTCATGATGGTGAGCGGGCCCGGGTAAAACTACGTGGCCGGGAGTCGAAGCCATTCCCTGTTCACCTTGGGGTACGATAGGGATGTCCTCTGGCTCCCACATTATTTAACATCTATTTAGACCACGTAGTTTGTGAAGCCTTCAATAGCTGTACCGGAGGAATTTCCATCTGGTACAGATACAATGGGAGGCTGGTCGATGCCCGGGTGCAGTCACGGGATGGCTCCCTATTGCTCAACCATGTTATGTATGCCGATGATCTGGTAATTGATGCTCGCACAGAGGAGTTGGAGGTGCTACTGCTGAACCTGGAGCTTTCCACTAATTGGTGGGGCCTTACCATCAGCCCCACCAAAACTAAGCACATGGCTGGGTATTTTGTACCATCGGACACTCCACCCCCATAACTCATAATTGGTGATAGGGCAGTTGTGGAGAGAGTGGAGAGTTTCCCATACCTGGGCAGTGCGCTCATGACCGGCTCTGGTTTGACAGCAGAGATCTCACTCTGAATCAGTCGAGCGGCATTATCTTTTCACCGGTTGCGTAACGCTGTGTGGAAGCTCCCTGATCTGTCGCTCCGCACGAAGCTTCAGGTCTTCCAGACCACAGTCATTCCCTCCCTTCTCTACGCTTGCGAAACGTGGACCCCCCTAATGCAACATCTTCGCTGGTTAGAAACATTTAGGCTGGCCTGCCCACGATCCATCCTGGGTTTAACCAGGCTGGATTGTGTGAGGAGCTCACAAATCCTTGAAAGATCTGGACAAAGTCCCATCGGTGAGCTCCTCCGGCAGGCAAGTCTGCGTTGGCTGGGTCATGTAGCCCGCATGCCTAGCCACTGCATGCCTAAACAGCTTTTGTTTGGCCGGATCGAGGGGGTGAAACGGGTGTGGCTCAGGCTAGAGAAGAGATGGAGTGATGTGGTACAGGAGGACGTGGAGTTGAGTGAACTTGCCAAAGTCTGGTACCAGCGGTGTCAAGATCGGCCTGTGTGGAGGAGGCTCATGAAGGACGCTACTGGGCAGTTGGAGGCAGTCGCCCTACAACAACGGAGGGCGGAGGAGCAACGCTCACAACATCGTGTGGAGCGCCGGGTGGCTAAAGCACAGCAAGTTATCACATTAGGGGGCACAGGTGGTGCATCAGCCAGTCATCTCAGTCGACCCGTGGCACCTGGGTCTGTCCCGTGACCTCGTGCCAGAGGGCGTTCGACACTTCACGTGGCCTCAACGTGCACATAGCCTGGCACAAGCATCGTGGTGACGTCACCGCCACTTAGTGGCGAATGGCGGTTGATGTCGTTAACCCTCCTCCACCCGACACAAGTCGATTAATAAAAAGTGTCGCGGTAAACCAGACGTGCCCACATTTCTCTTTGCAGCAGCGGCACCACCGGTGTGTGTGAGGTTACTCTCCAACAAGTGACACTTTTATTAATTGGCTGTCCCGCGTCGGGGTGGCGGAGGGTTTAACAGACACGCGTTTTTACACGACCCAACCCAAAATAACACAATTATGAATAGGGGGAAATGTAACTTAAATGTAACTTATGTTCCCTGCAACGACGCTGATGATTATTCTGTCATGTATTTTTCGGTTTGTGTCAAACTCGGACCTATATCTAATAGAGCGCCATTGTCTCCGACTAGCACGGTTGGATGCGTCCGTAAGGGTGCGAAAAAAAGTTTTACACACATTGAGTACTTAAGCATCCAGCAGTTCTCCAGAATTGAATCAAGTGAGCCCTGACTCTGCTGATGAGACACTCAAGTGTCAAAACCGGTGAGTGATGGATTGCAGGCCACGTACAGTGAGGGAAAAAAGTATTTGATCCCCT